AGCGGGCGCCTGGTGGCTCCAGTCCGGGGGGGGCCACCCAGCCACTGCACCCAGCTGAGCCCTGCCCGCTGGCAGCTGGGTTGGCACCCTATGGTGCTGCAGTGCTGCCAGCCAATCCACGGTCCCCACAACTCACCCAGAGCCTCAGCACCCTCTCACTGTCACCCAAGCTGCTGCCGCGGGGCACAACACGCGCCGGCGGACGGCACCGCTGGTCTCTGGCCACCGGGCATGGCAAGGACCAGCTGGAGGAGCTTCTGGAGCCGCCCAAGCTGGTGATCACAGAGCAGCCCAAGCAGCGGGGCATGCGCTTCCGCTACGAGTGCGAGGGCCGGTCGGCCGGCAGCATCCTGGGTGAGAGCAGCACTGATGCCAGCAAGACACTGCCAGCCATTGAGGTGAGCATGCCACGTGGCCAGCGCCTGGCTTGGAGGCAGCCCAGGGTGGGCAGGCTGAGGCTTGCAGGAAGCAGAAGGGTGGTGGGGGGCTGCCAGACCCCTGTGGGTGGCAAAGCCAGAGGCCCATGCGTGCCTGGGGAATGTGGGAGCCCTACTGGTGTTGGGTTGCTCAGTGCCCACCCTTGAGCCTAGGGGCATCCTGTGTTGGGCAGGTGCTGATGGCTTGTGTCTGCCTGGGATGGTGGATGCCAGTTGGGTGCTGGCAGGTACCTGACGCCTGTGGGGTAGTGCCAAGGCCCCGTGGGTGCTGGAGCCTATCCTGAGGTGCTTCCTTCCCTCCCGTGTCTCTGGGCATGGGTTTCACCCGTGTCAGTGCACCCAGGGTCACGCTGACATCTTGTGTCTCCCCAGCTGCTGAACTGCCACGCAATCCCCGAGGTGAAGGTGACGGCGTGCTTGGTGTGGAAGGACTGGCCCTACCGTGTCCACCCCCACGGCCTGGTGGGCAAGGACTGCAGCAATGGGCTCTGCGAGGTCATCCTCAAGCCCCAGACTAACCCTAAGCACAGGTACGCAATGCCAGGGTGAGTCCCACCATCAGCAGGGAGCTGTGCCGGGATGCTGGCATCAGCTCATGCTGAAGCCAGCACCGGCAGAACAAGGGCTGTTTTTTGGGGGGTGGGCAGCAGGAGGCTGGGAGGGGCAGGACACCCTGGTCCCCTGGGGTTTTGGATGGGGGAGCCACCTCCCCAGCATGTCTCTGCTCCGCGGCAGCTTTAGCAACCTGGGCATCCAATGTGTGAAGAAGAAAGAGATTGAGGCGGCAATAGAGAAGAAGCTGCAGTTGGGTATCGACCCCTTCAAAGGTGAGGGGGCTCAAGTGGAGCTGTTCCTGGGGACCGAGACCCTAGGGGGTGTCTCAGGGGATCCTGGTCCCTTGGGGATGTCCCCAACCCTGCCCTGTGGGGCTTCTGACAGTCCCTTCTCCTCTCCCCTAGCTGGTTCCCTCAAGAACCATCAGGAGGTGGATATGAACGTAGTGAGGATCTGCTTCCAGGCCTCCTACAAGGACGGCTCCGGGCAGACACGGCACCTCAGCCCTGTGCTCTCGGAGCCCATCTTTGACAAGAGTACGTGGTGCTGGGAAACACTTCATGTCCCCACTGGGGCCACAAGACCCCCAGAACACTCCCTGCTCCGGCACCTGGTTCTGGGATGGGACGGGTAGTGAGGCTGCACCCGCCGGTTCCTTGCCGGGGCCTGGCTCAGGCTACAGCCTTTGGCCAGGCTTGGTCCCACGTGGCCGGTGGTGATTTGTCCCCCATGCCCGGGGTGGGATGGTCACCTGCATCCCACGGGGCTGGCACTCTGTGTGACAGCTGGTCAGGAAGAGATGCTGCTGATGGGAATGTCCCTGGTGCCCAAGCATGGTCCTGGTGCCCTGTCCCAGTCCGATGCCCCATGCCCAGTGCCATGCTCGGGCAGTTTGGGAGCTGCCTTGCTGGCTCACAGCCTGAGCCATGATGCTGCCCATAGAGTCCACCAACACCTCAGAGCTGCGGATCTGCCGGATGAACAAGGAGAGCGGTCCCTGCACGGGCGGTGAGGAGCTCTACCTGCTCTGCGACAAGGTCCAGAAAGGTACCTGGGGGTGAGCTGGGGGCCCTGCGACCCCAAGGGCATCTTTGGGGGCCAAATTACCCCCCAGAAGCCAGGATGGGGGTGAAGGAAAGTGATGAATGCTGGCACTGCTGGAAGGTTTTGGGGATGGGTCCCAATGGGTTTGGAACCTGGGAGCCGCCACCTCCCCCATGCTCCTCAACACCCCTGGGTGCTGGAGAGGGAACTGTGGGTGCTGGAGTGGGGACCAAGGGGTCCTGCAGCCTCCCAGCCCCTCTACTGTAGGGGAAGGGCTCCTAGGCTGGAGGGGGAGGACCCCAGCTCCAGGGAAAGGACCCCAAGTCATGATGGAGTGATCCTGGGTGCTTGTGGGAGGTGTAGAGAGCAGGAAGGGATGACCCACTGCCTTGGTGACACACACACACACACATACACCCTCACCCCCCTGCCCCCCCTCAAAAAAAACCCGCAGAGGACATCGCAGTGGTTTTCCGGAAGGAGACGTGGGAGGCGCGGGCGGACTTCTCGCAGGCTGACGTGCACCGCCAGGTCGCCATCGTCTTCAAAACGCCGCCCTACCAGCACCTGGAGCTGGCTGAGCCCGTGGAGGTGGAGGTCTTCCTGCAGCGGCTTACTGACAGTGTCTGCAGCGAGTCCTTCCGCTTCACCTACCTGCCCAAGGACCACGGTACCCGTGCAGTCACGCACCCTGGGAGGGGCGTGACAGGCCCCCAGGATGGGGACACAGGACCCCTGTGGTTGGGAGGTGGCCCCCAGGATGGGGACAAGGCTTTGAAGGATGGGGACATGATGTGGGGACAGGACCCCAGGGGTTGGGATGTGGCCCATGGGATGGGGGCAGCCCACCTGGGATGGGGATGTGTCACTTGAGAGTGGGGTGAGAGGGAGTGGAGACACCCCACCATGATGTTGATCGTAGCCCACAGGATAAGGGATGGAGACACGGAGTGGGGACAGGACCCCTGGTGTTGGGAGGTGGCCCATGGGTTGGGGGCAGCCCACCTGGGATGAGGACAGCTCTCTCCAGGCTGGGGACAGGCTGCCAGTGTGGGGACAAGGCTAATGAGGTGAGACTTGGGGCGGGGGGGACCCTGGCAATCATGGCCCCTCTCTGCAGATGCCTACGGGGTGAATGTGAAGCGGAAGCGGGGGATGCCCGATGTCCTGGAGGAGCTCTCAGGCTCAGGTGGGTGCTGGCAGGGACCCCCTGTGGAAGGGAGAAGGTTTCACGGGGGCCACCCCAGCATGGGGGATGCCCATTCCCAGGCCAGGGTGGGGGTAGCCCCATGCCATGCTGCTCCCTTCACCCCACATCCCCTCCTCGGCCCTGCAGATCCATATGGGATTGAAGCCAAGAGGAGGAAGAAGCCGCCGGGATACATGGATCACTTTGCACCGCTGCCGGTGGCAGGTGAGTCCCCGCGGAGAGGGAAACGATGGGGCACAGAGGTTAGGGCCCCATTGGCATCCATGGCCCAGGAGGGGAGGGGGCTCAGTGGGGTCTTGGTCTGACCTGGAGTCAGAAGAGCCCCTCCAAGCATGGGAGACATCCCCAGGTCACTCCTGGGGTTGGCATTGTCCCCTGGGACCTTCCCCCCACAGTTGTGGGGGTCCCCCCAGACTTGGGAGAGACCCCTGGGGAACCCCAGAGCCCTGGTGTCACCCCCAGCGTTGGGAGCAGCCCTGGGGGGATCCCCATTACCCTGAGTAAGTGTGTCCCCCCAGCCCTAGTGTTGCCCCAGGATGGTGTTGGGGGATGAGGAGGGCCCCCCTGAGCCCCCCCTAACCCCTCTCTCCCCCGAC